TATATATGGAGGCTGATGGACATACATCAGTATCTCTGTTCGTCCCTACACTCTACTGTAGTTATCAGTCTTCTGGTACTTAGTGAGCGGCAGCTGCTTTGTCTCATCTAGAATATAACAGTTAGAGAACATGTCGACATAAGTCATTGGTGGCATCCATCATCCCGGTTTGTCCCGTTATTGCCATATCGCATGGCGCAGATAATGACACGATTTCTCATCCGATTTTGACCGTAGGCTGCTGAATGAACTCGCCAACTTAGGACACCATACCATACCTGAAGCCTCCCGGTATGAGCCCGGATCATATTATGATCCTTTTGAAAATGAAACATTTTGATTCAATTGCAATTTCACCAGACATTAATTCGGTAAACACAAAGTGATTGCGCATTGCGTCGGCGCAAGCCACCTTTATATATATATATATATATATATATATATATATATATATATATATATATATATATATATATATATATATATATATATATATATATATACATATGTATATATGTATATATATATACATACATATATATATATATGTGTGTGTGTGTGTGTTATTATATATTTTAATATATATAATATTGTGATGCAGGCTGTACACGGATGAGATTAGGCGGCAGGGCTCGACCATCCAGCAAGTGCGTGCGGACGAAGGAGCATTCCAGAACACCATCATAGCGCTCAAACACACATTGGAGACCCAGATGCTAGCTACAACGTATGTATACCGTAACCATAGTAACAGGAGCCATGTGTTTAGTATCTGAAGCTCATAGAGTCAGGCTTATCAGAACCTGCATGGGTTCGTTACTTTGCTGTGTGTAGTATCATGTGCTGAACCGAGCAACTGTTTGGGTTTTAGAGTTCTAGCCGAACCTTGAAACCTAAAACCCTAAAACCCTGTTGCTCCTGAGATATCCATGTTTGTATTCTTGCATAGCATCTAGTAGTGATGCACGTCATGAACCACTGTTGCTGCTGTAAACGCCTAGAAGCCAATACTTCATCTATTACATGGAACTGTTCTAGTTCACAGTATATTGGCAATGCTGCTTAAATCCTCGTTCTCTAATGATATGCATATGTATATGTATATATATATATATATATTTATATATATATATATATATATATATATATATATATAGTATATTATCAGTCACGTTGTGTCTCCCGTTATTTTCAACTATCACGTCGCATATCTGTTATTGTATCCCTGAATAAGCCAGTACATTCGCTTTGAACCACAGACTAACGCTATCGTAAACGAAAACGTACCTTCTTGTGGACAAAAGTGGCCCTATTCCCATAACCATAGTAAGCTACACTTCATTTAGGACGATGCAATAACTGTCCGTGGTCATTTTACGTATATCGTGTATTGTCACTCCCGTCTTAAGGTTTATGGTTCTTAAAACGGACATCTTCTTAGTTGCGCAACACGCAGGCAGTGACTGGCAGACACCCCCTAATTACCCTTCAGTTTACTTTAATTATCCGTCAGTTTACTTTAATTTCACAGTTTACTTCAATTACACATCTGTTTACTGACGGCTCTTTAGTCCTTAGCAGAGCTAGGCTATCTGCTTATCCCACGGCATGCATCTAGCTATACACTCCTAGATAGAGTGACCCCTGCTGTAGGTAAGTTCTCTACTCCACCCCCCGCGTAGCGTGGGATCTCGGAGCAAACCCCTAAAACCCTACAACCCTAAAATCGGGGATTGGACTTCTCTCATACACCCAGCCACATCTCCCCATAGCCACTGACCCTTCTCTCACTCCCTGTGTGCCTTGTGCCTGTCTTGTCTCCTCCTACTACAGGGTATCGTCTCCATTGCCTGACGCGCGTGTGTTCTTAGACCGGGGACTGCCTGACTCTGTAACGTACTATCGCTTTACACAACTGGACCCCAACGAGGCTCTGCAGCATTGTTTCGCGCGCCGATACTCACACGGTGAGTGTCTGCAGTAACCATGTGCTCATCCCAGCAATGCGCAGGACTTAAGGCTCTCAGCTAACATCTAACTTTTAAACCCCAAACCCTAGACTGTTAACCCTGTCTGCTTGCACCTGCCGCAGATAAAGTAACGATAACGTATTCTCCCTCAAGCTTTCTCCGTTTTGGTCATAGTGTGTGTGTTGTGAGTGTGTAGTGTGTGGGTGGTGTGTGTGTGTGTTGTGAGTTTGTGTAGTGTGTGTGTGTGTGTGTTGTGAGTTTGTGTAGTGTGTGTGTGTGTGTGTTGTGAGTTTGTGTAGTGTGTGTGTGTGTGTGTTGTGAGTTTGTGTAGTGTGTGTGTGTGTGTGTTGTGAGTTTGTGGTTTTCATATGGTGTGTGCAGTGTGTGTTGTGAGTGTGTACCATGTGTGTGGTGTGTGTGTGTGTGTGTGTGTGTGTGGTACATATACATATCAGTACCAAGCAATATCCATTCTACAAACACATGCATATTCCTTCCACACTCTATCTGATAGTCTATCCGCAGCACCTCACCCGGTCCTTTCGCCCCATGCCCTGCACCTCACAGTCTTCATTTTGGACCCGCTGCCCTTAGAACTCGACGGCACGCGAGTGGAGGATGAACAACGTGCCTTGGCTATTGACCAGTGGCTTGAGCGTGACTATACACTCATGGGCTACACCGTAGTACGAGTGCCTGTGGTGCCTGTGCAGGAGCGGCTGCAGATGGTGTTGCAGTATGTCTCCACGATAGGGTAGTGACGGGTATATAGCCTTGTATCTATACACGCGCACGGCGGTCGGTGGGTGTGGGTAGATATAGCGTAGGTACAGCCAGTATGTGGTATGTCGCATGGGAAGGACGTATACCTGATTGATCTTATGTAGAGTGTAGTGTAATATTAACACAACTCCACACATAATTTCAGCACGGCTCGACACGCATGGGCTATGCATACGGTAGTACAAGTCCCTATGGTGGCTATGCAGGAGCGGCTGCACATGGTGTTGCAGTATATCTGCTGGATCGGGTAGCTGCCTACACGTTGGTAGGCATCTATCGGGTAGCTGCTTACACGGAGGTAGGCATATGTCAGGTAGCTGCTTACACGTGGGTAGGCATGTGTGTATTGCCTTGCATCTAGCTACTTCTACGTCAGTAGATATGGGCATGCACGGCGTGTTACAGCTGGAGAAGACTGTGTACTCGAACGGTCTCATAGTAGTTGTCCGTGCATCCAATACGTTCGGCGGTTTCTTTAGACAAGCCGAGGATGATAAAAAACCTCACCCCCTAAACAGTCGAGACTTGTTGGGTTTGTGAGCTCGACTGTACCCGACTACGGCGCTGTGGGTCAGTGTGTGTCTGTGACACCCGCACTGAATTGGCCCAAACTGGGGAACTGTAACACAAACACAAAACAAACTCTGAGGTCATCTGGGTACAATTGGAGCAAAGGGGTGTGCGCTATACCACAGGTGGCTCCATATAAAAGGTCTTGTTATGTATGGGGCACTCGTATGTGTATATTATGCGTATGTCCACTCAACAGTATGATGCCATATGACGTCCCTTGGCCGCTTGGAGATACATGTGCTGTGGGGAGAGGGTTTGTAACGTATATGCAGTCGCGATGTGAACGTTTTGTCGGAATGGTACGACTCCAACAGGGGCCACGCGCATTTTCGGGATGCGTGTACGAGAGAGGCACAAAACGTTTATACGGATATTCCGAAGTATCCGAGGCTGTTGCTGTGAGATACACGGGGCACTCCGCTGTGACACGTCTAATGAATGTTACCCTCAGCCACAGTGTAGTGCTAGAGACAAGGATATGTGCTGTGCGTGGGGTGGCGAGGGGTTTGTCTATTGAGTAACAATTCTCAGCAACAGCTGAGTGCGAAGGACGTCCGTTTGACCACAGAAGAACTGTGTGGTGGCCCTGTGATGCACTTGTCCTTTGTATTGTACCCCTGGTGTTGGGCTGGCTGGGGTACAAACCTTTGAACCAGGTCCATAAATTTAGGTGCACGCTGAAATAAAAATGGGTTAGACAAACTTAGAACAATCGCATATGAGTGGGGCTCCCGCGCGACCACAAGGTCTATATATGAAATGTATATATATATGTATATATATATATGTATAAAATAAAATATATATATATATATGTATATATATATATATATATATGTATATATATATATAATATATGTATATATATATATATGTATACAAATAGATAGATATATTATTATTATTAAATACTTATACAGGTATTCTCGAAAGACAGGAAAGTATTTTATTCAAATATGAATCATTCCATAAACACCCCGGAGCTCAACAAAATAGCGCGAAAGAAAGGGAACCTAGTATCTCATACTGTCAATCATAGCGCCATTGCGGCCTATTTTATTTACTAATAATTCTATTAACCCAATTTGTACCGAGTGCACGCCGCAGGATATATTTAGTACACGCAATGTTGGGTTTTGCTTTGCTAATGTTTTACGTCTCTCGGCCGTCTCAGGTTATCGTCCGGGCAAAGTAGGTAGGCGCCGCTTCAGCGGCCCACTCAGGCTCAATAACCGTAGCGACCCGCAAATAGTACCGCTTTGTCTTCACCAACTCGTGGTACAGGACATACTTGGGCTTCTGGCCCTTCAACACACTCTGCGGGTGCAGGGCCACTTCGGTCCTATTACTCACCGGGTGGTAGGTACCATCGTCCTGCAGCACGGCTATGTTGTAGAAGAACCCAGAAACCAATGCCTTGCGTATGTTGTCTGTGTCACTCGATGACCTGATTTCTATATTGGATTTGCGGCAGAGCTCGGCGAGTTGGCCCCGGGTGTCCAGGACTGTCTTCATGGACTTCATGTTGATGAAGTGGTCCTTGCACCATGTCTTGTTGCCCTAGAGGTAAATGAATAGTAAACACGTGAATAAGTACTGTTGGGAAGGGGGACGGCAGAAACGAGGACAGGTTCCTAATACAAACTAGGATGGTTAGCAAACGACAAGTAAAAAGTATATACAGAATACGTAAATCATTTACAACCCTAAGTATAAAGTATATATAAAATACGTACGTCATTTATGGGTGTATCTCAGAATAAGTGCGATCTTCCTTTCAAATAAGTTTATGTTGGTAATCAATCTGCGGCAGCTTGATAAAACACCAGGCCGTTACATCTCAAGAATCAGAAACAGATCCGATGCAGATTAGTGACGCATATCTCCTCATAGATAATAAATTTATCATATACATATACATATACATAGAAAATATAGTATATATAGATAATATATATATATATGACTGTCCGAGCACTTTGACACAGTAACTCAAGTGCAACCTCATAGACTCGCATGCTATCACCAGTATCACAAGCGTGTACTCGTACCTTGTTCTGTCTGTACGCTTTGTAAACGTTCAAATACGTCAGGTGGTCTCCGTACAAGCTAGCAAACTCTTTCATGACGGACAAGTCCACCTCCTCGCGCTTGTTGAACGGTATGAAGAAGATAGACGGAGCCGACAACATAGAGACTATCGTCAGGATCTCCTCCACACATCCCAACCGTTCAGCAGATATCAGTGTCTTCGCCAGTTGCGGTTCGATAGGAAAGCGGGCCATGCGTCTGCCCAAGGTAGTGAGTTTGCCCGAGGCATCCAGCGCACCCAGAGAGAAGATCAGCATCAACGCCGCCCTGGAGTCACCCAATACGAATAATTATAGTAAGACAACGCTAACTTAACTGAGGTGGTTGGCAAGTTGCTTTGAAAGCGAGGCACATGAGCAATGCACGTGCATATAAATAGATATAAACCCTAAAATCTTGCAAGTAAATGAACTCAACGGGTGTGATGGAATGTAAACGAGTTTCAACCTCCCGCAAGTGTGCAGCTGCACGCAAGGCTGACAAAAACGCGGTCCTGACGGGTTACTATAGCCGCACATACAGTGATATGTGTTCCCCCTCATAGACCATGGGTGGGTGCAAAAGGGGGGCGCATCGGCAGTACACTCACAAACTCAACAGCCACAGACAGAGTAGAACGCGTGGTACTGCGAGACTGTGAATAAAACAGCTGGTGATGGTTTATATGAAGGGGGAAGGTAAACGGGGTTTTTTCTATCAGGAGGACCTACCTGAGAGACTCGGTGGTGGGTTTGTCCAGGAAGTCGAAGTGGATGATATCATCTACACCCATGGCCTTCATATTTAGGACTGCTGAGGCCAAATTGCAGCGTACAATCTCCGGTGTGGTTGTGCTATCCAGCGTCCGAAACAAGTCCTCTGAGAACAATCTGTAGAGCCAGACAAAAAAAGATTACTAAACTGAAGCGACAGGTAATAAATAGTATAGAATCCAAGCCAATAAACTACTTTGTAGGTGTAGCTGATGAATGCATGAAAACGGATGTGTAAGGATATGTCTGAGTATCCGGGCTAGGCCAATGAAGATTAATCCTTACTATTAAACATTGACCAGCCATTTCAACTCAATTTTGATCTAGCAACGATCGTGAATCAGACCCACATGGACTGTGAGTGCGACTGTCTGCCGTGCGATGAGCTCTCGGTAAGAGAAACCCTAAACCCTAAAAACAAACCAACAAATGAAAGACAGAATACTGCCAGGTATGCATTAAGTACACAAAAGTACCTACCTATAACAAACTCCTGGTGCCTCTCTGCCAGCACGACCCGTCCTCTGCCTGGCCTGGGCCTGACTCACAGGCTGGGCCATCAGAGACTCGACCGATAAGTTTGGGTTGAACGTTTTGGCCTTTACCAGCCCCGTGTCCACTACATACCGTATACCGTTAATGGTAATGGACGTCTCCGCAATGTTTGTCGCCAGCACCACCTTGCGCGAGCCTTTTGGGACCGGTTCAAAGACCTTCATCTGCTGCTCCGGCGGGAGCGCCGCAAAGATGGGGCGCACCACCAACTTCCCGAACTTCGGATCGAGTTTCTCGGATGCGTCTTGCAGCAACGCACCCACATTCTCGATGTCTTCCTGACCAGTAAGGAATACCAGGATGTCGCCCGGCTTCTCATCCTGATGGATCTGCAACACAGTCACAAACACCGAGTCTACATAGTCCTGTTGTGGCTCGATGGTGTATAGGATCTCCACCGGATACTGTCTCCCTTGGACGTAGAGCACGGGACAATCGTCGAAGTACGTGCTGAACTTGGCCGCATCTAACGTAGCGCTCATGATGATCACTGCAGAACGAATAGTATACATAAAGGTTAGAAACTTGCACTGGGATAAGACATCCGTAGACCCGTGCAAATGATAAGATATGTTGCAAGCTCATTAACGCAGTTGTCGTCGTGCAGCCATTGTTGAAGAGGGCGTTCAGTGGACATGGGTTACGTTTGAGTAATCAGGGCTATGCGACAAACACTCACTAACCACCAGGACAGGATCGCCAGCACGACTACACACCTTTCAGCTCCGGCCGTAGCTTCTGCACCCCCTTGATGACGCCAAAGAGTATGTCTGTCATGAGAGTACGCTCGTGGGCCTCGTCCAGTAGTATAACGGAATAGCGACTGAGTTTGGGATCACTTATAGCCTCTCGTAAGAGCATTCCGTCTGTCATGTACTTCAGCGCAGTGTCTCTACTAGTGGTGTCGTCAAAACGGACCGTATAACCAACTTTCGAGCCAATCTGTATCCAGGATTAAGAAAAATATACATAAAACAGAAATGAAAGCCAAAATGTCCGCAGCCCAGTTCGAAGCAGTGACTATAGATATAGTCTACACAGAGTATCTCAGTTAAAATTAAATCTTCATATTGAATGCAGATAGAGCTAATATAAAAAGCATCATCGATACTACCAGTTCAGCCGTCAGAAAGCAAACAAGTCCTACGCAACACAGGGACGAGTTCACACTTTGGCACTTGTGGATTGCGCATGAGGTACATTGACGTCAAATCGACTCACCTTGCAACCTGTTTCCAAGGCAACCCGGTTGGCTACTGATACGGCAGCAACTCTTCTCGGTTGAGTGCATGCGATCATCTTGCCCTTATCCATGCCCGCGTCTCGAATGTATTGACTGAGCTGAGTCGTCTTACCACTACCTTGAGAAATGCCAACAGCGATGTATTAGAACAATTGTGAAGCGAAGGGCGATAGGGGAGGGAAATAGTTCTCAACATAGCAATAAGTTCTGCATGTGCTATTATCGAGCAATCAAGTATTCAACGACTTCTTGCGGGGAATAAAACTTACCAGTTTCTCCTACTACAATCACAGTTGGAGCTTTGCTGATCTCAAGCAGCAGCTTGACTCGTGCCTGGTATATAGGCAGATCCATGCGCGACTTTATATATTTCTCAGCCCCAGGCAGCTTATATGTGGGCCCAGTCTGGATCATCGCATCTTGAGTTTCAGCGATGAACTTGACAGCACGGTCCTTGTCTCGTTTCTTGGACTTCGAACGCACTTTGGTCCGTTTGTGAACTCCATTCGGTACGGCGCCTGCCGGAGCGGCCTTGTGGGCTACCGGCGCGTGCGCCGATGTGAGCTGAAACCCCAACATGGCTCAGTCCGAAGCTGTGCGAGTGACGCAAAGGACGATACAAGGAAGGTTGGCGACCGAAAGCCAAAACTCCTACAGTGCCTGCTCAGACCACCTCAGAAAGTGTGTTTGTTTATTGTTAATAGTCTGTAGCTTGCCTCCCGAGATTTATACCGTAACGAAAACAACCAGAGAACGTATAAACTTCCAAATTTTGGGTGCAGGCCACGTGAGGGTAAATATTGAAGAAAGAAAGAAAAATTCAGTCCCTATGTACAGGGGACAGAGAGCGCCAGAGGTCTCACAATGCTCAAAAATTTATTGTTGCCCAGAGTACTCAGTGCATACTTCACACTCTACGGTCTACGCTCTACTAAAAACATACACAACGCTACAGTCTCTAAAAAAAAGTTTACAGGCCGTACCACTGCGCCAGGCCCAAGACTCCCCGGAGTGGGCTATTTATGTCCCAGACCATCAGAATGCTCAAAGTAAATAAAAATATTTGAATTATTTTTAGTAGGTACTTCTTGTAGACCTAAATATAGAACTATTTATATGTAATTATTTATATATACACAAGAAGAAGTATGTTTATTTCATAGGAAGCCCGATAGCCTCAAAAATGTACACATCAGACGGGCCACGGACTCGCGGGCCTCAGACTAGACTCAGAGCCTCAGAGGCTCACAGAACAAGAGAGCACTCGTTTTGTTTTGTTTTTTGAATATTTACTTCCTGGTTTTTGGCGCGGTGTAAAGAGTCCAGAACTCCAGTCTCCAACGGTCCAGCCTCCAGGTCCCAGGAGTCCAGACTCTAAGAGAGGCTCGCAATAATTGTGACAAAGGGCGATGGCCTGAGACCAATGTAAGAAGCGCCAAATATTGCGGATGATGCTTCCAAAGTTAAGCATCGCATTGCATATCATCGCATTTTTCCTAGCCAGATAACCAACAACGACAAGCGTAAGACCGTTATCAAGGGATCTACACCTTCCTTTACACCTTCCTTTACACCTTCCTTTACACCTATTCAGTTACTACCCCAATTAATACCAAGAACTACAACAACCCCAGCAGATCGTGTGTGCTTACAATTTCACGCAGAGCCCCATTTTCAACTCCACTAACGCAGACATCATCCGATCTACCGCGGACCGTCTCCAGAAGGCCTACCATGCAAAACATGATGCAAACCTCTTCTCACGTAACCCGCGAATTCCGGCAAACGCTAACGAACCAGCGCGTGCGGAACCCGGACGACTTCATATATTAATTGTCTTCCCGACACAACCATCCGACACGATGGTTACCAATACTCAGCCTCAACCTTCCACGAAAGACTCTTCGACGACAGGCAACGATATAGAAATGGCTGACATCGTTAAAGAAGAGAGCCCAGTAGTATTGGCCGATGATGAACAATGTTAGTGGTTGAAACCTGGCATAACACCACCTTTCTAATCATATACGCTCGAAGATACACTACTATATTCTTCATCACACTACACGGCATAATATCTTACATCCTTCACACTGTGGTATTGGCATCTTTTCCGAATACCACCCATCGAATTTTCAACTTGTACACTCTTCACCGTACGTGGTGTTCTTTGTGTGCTTTGGCGTTCATATGGCCGTGTTCTACCTTCCACTCAAATCACTTACTGAAGAAGAAGTCAGGCGATACATGTAAAAATAGCGGTGTCTTTATAGTAGTTGCACAGTTAATGTATACCATAAATGTATTAACGTATTAACGTTTATACTTATAATAATTGAATACGTTTAACGAATTGGACATGAACAAGAATTGAGATATTCAAGATTCTGAACATGTGATAGTACTCAGTAGAGTATGTGACTCTATTGTGGACAATTAGGTGGTTTTCCAAATATAGATTGGGTTTTCCACTGAAATTAGAATTGTCTGACACTTTAAAATGACACTTTGGGAATATCTAATTAACGGGAGTACCATGAGAGAGGGTCTCAGGCATGAAATGGTTGTTGGTACAAG